CTACGCGTTGAAATGAATGACGTTGGTACAACATAATGTATTTCTGTTACCCCCCCTCCCCAATCCTTCGTTATGTCTTGTGTCCTCTCACCGTTTGTGATAGCTAGTGTTGTCTGGTGGTGGTCGTAGTTGTGCGGATACAGATCTGTGATGCTCTTACCTTTTCTGTGGTGACTGGAAATTCATATCCCCCACATATAAACATGTCCCCCCCCCCCCTCCTCCTCCACCACGTCGATCTCCCTCTCTCCTCCATGTTGTATACTGTGGATTATGCGCATGGATTCATTTTAGTATATAATAATTTGATATTTAGATGAAAATATCAATCTGATGGTATTTTTTTAACCACAGCCTACTGCTGCGTCAGGACTTGTTTTCCTATTGTGAGCCACCGTAGCCACATCCACAATATGGCAGCTAATAGCTGAGCAGTGATCTCTGCACTGGAATAAATGTGATGTTTGGAGCAAATTGTGGTGCAAGTGAGAGGTTTGTGCTGCTGATCATAGACTCTGGAGGACCATTGTAATCTCAGCTGAACAGGGACCAATAGCAGGCAGGGCTAGGCCTAATAAAGGAGGGCCTCCATCACTCCAGGTTTCCCCCATTTTAGATGCAGCTAAACTGAGCTCCCATTTCATAGCCCACAATATTAACATTTCTCCTGTTTGTAACATTTCAATGTGGCACCTGTTTCTGAAGCCCACACTTTATCACACCTGGTCCCTAAATAGTGACTGATAAAAAATATATCACTGTAAGTGCATATTTCCTACAAATCCAATGTTCTCAAAGTGAAACCGAATGTCAGATGGAGATAAAAATGCCTATTCTTTTTTTTCTTCCCATACAGTGGCATAATGTAATAAAGGATTGGAGGCAGGTGTCATGAATGTTGAATGAATGTCAGAAATAGATATGCTAAAAGCCTATCCCAGAGCCGCCCATGACAGTCCTATTAATAGGGATGGTAGGCTGGCTAGGTTTTGTGAAGATACTGTATGTGCTCTCTCACACTCATGGCTAAGTGCTGTGTGTTTTCTGTGTGTCTATAGTTAAGTAGTAAGTGTTGTACTTCAGGTGTAGAAAGTCATTTTTTGGCGGTCATGTATTATGAACACAGATACCTCTATCACATGCCGTTGCATGTGGGCTGGTGTTTTCATCACTGGTACAATGCAAAAACATCCTTCCTAGCAGGGACTCCCACAGGACTGTAAACATAGCATCATAATATAGTATACTGCAGTGGTTTTGACTTGGTCGGTTAGCAGTGATAACACAGTGCTACTTACACGTGTGTTCACGTGTAAGCATGTGAGCATGTTAAGTTGCATGTGTGTGTGAGATAGTCTGGGTGGGTGTTATCTGTAGTTCCTTTTTTGAATCTGAGTCCTGCACACATCCCAAGTGTTCACACATTTGTAATCCCCCCAGGGCAGGTGCCTTCTAATAGAGCTCTGTTAAATGCTGTGCAGTCAGAAGTGTCAATGTGCGGATGGTGTGCACGAGCAAGACAACAGTGAGGATGTGTGTGTATTTCTCACCGGTTTTAGTCAGAGCGTCTTTGATTGGCTCCCAGACTCAGGGTATAAGTGTATTACATAACAGGGTTGGCAGACACAGGGAGGACGGACCGCGAGACTCACTCGGTGCGTCGGAAAGAGAAGCCTCTTTCTGGAATACAGCATCTTGTTACTCGACATCGCAGGCTCATCTCTTGCGGAGGACCATCACGTCGACCGCTTCCAAAAGAGATTTAATTATCATGATTGTATGAACCGGACTTCTCCATGCATACACTCTCTGAACAGTTACATGCCACAAACATGGTAAGGCTGGCTGAAGGCGCGCATGTGTGTGTGTGTGTGTGTGTGTGTGTGTGTGTGTGTTTGCTCAGGGATGCTGTAGGTGCTTTGGTGCAGATGTGCTATGGCTAGAGATAGAGGAGGATGTTGGAATGCAGTGGAGCTGCCAGTGCAGTGAATGCTGATGTGTTGTGCTGCAAAGATGATATAAGCGAAGGAATCGGCTTTCTATTCTTACATATGTACTTGTCAGTCTGTGCTTGTATATGAAACAGAAAGCCTTGTCATACATGTCCACGTATAGGGATAGATTCCTCTGCATTCATTTGCATTGACCCAAATACAGGTTTTGCGGTTTAAAGACGGCTGGTTCGCCCTCTGATCTTTGATGTTGTAACTGCAGTGTAACCATAATGATGACATAGGTCATTACAGTTGGTAGACACACAGGTAATGATGAGTATTGTGGCAAGACTTCTCTGTGTTTGTGTGTCTATGTGTTTACTGTGTGCCATTTGATCAAGCTAGGTATGAGGCTGTGCTATGGCCGGTATTGGGAAGATTGATTATGTAATGCTTTTAATTTATTCAGACATGTAGAGGGAAAAAGGATGCAATGTATTGGTGAGGGCAGTGCTGATCTCATTAGGGAGATGGAAGGATGAGGGGAAGGAGAAAACTGAGCAGGGAGGAACATTGGCTGTGAATGGATCTCTATCTGTCCCTCTCCCTCGCTCTTTCTGTCTGTTGCCTATATTACAGCAGATTGATGGGGACCAGAGAGATTGTGCTGGAGGTGGGGTTGGAGAGGGGGGTGGGTGGATTAGGGCAAGCAGACATTACAGTGAAGGAGCAAGAAGTAAGACTGACCTCAGTGCCAAGGCTCATCTGTTCTGTGAGTGCTGTTTCAGGCAGAGGTCCTGATGTCAGATGGTGACGGTCAAGTAGAACTGATTTGGCTTCCTCTAGCTGTCCATTTGGATAATAAATGATTTAAATCAAACTCCTTTTCCTGAATAAACAATGATATTTTATTCTTTTTGAGTACTATTCATTGGTCCTGTTACCATGGCAGCGTGACACATGTTTTTGCGGTAATCCTCCTCTCTTCCTGTAGTGGAGAGCTTTGAGATATAGGCTGGAGCTATTGTTACCCCAGCTCCCAGCCATGTGATATCTGATTGAATCAGCCTGCTCAATTACATCTTTGATCTAAAACCTGCATGCAGAGGTCTACACTATATACCTTTGTATTTTACATTGATATGGAAATATAATGGCACTAGATTCTCTAATGGGATTGCTTTGTCATTTTAATATTTAATAACAGAGTGCAGGTCCTTAGTGGTCAGTCTTTACTCTTCTTTCCTTGTGTGTGTGTCTGCTTACACAGGCACACACACGCACGCCTAAATTGGGAAATATTCTGGTGCATCCTGAAGTGTCCTTGCCTCATCCCATCATCTTGTCAATACCAGTGAAGCATCCTCATCTGTCGCCATGACGACGGCTGTTCTTTCCCTTCCAGGCATGGACGTCCCTCCCTATGTTCACTCCTCTGCCCTGATTGGCTTATGTCCCCTGTAGCTGTCTCAGTAAGCCATCAGGGAAGTAGACTTGTCTACAGGTTGAGGGCGTAACGTAGATGCTGAGTCCGAGAGCTTAGATTCTCATGGGGGGCGGGGGGGGTTGAAACACAACAAACAAACACACAATCTGCAGTTTCTCATGGACGTTATGGCACACACTGCATCAGCACATAGGAGGAATAGCGTTTTTTTGCTGAAGTGATGAGGTGCATTTTAAAAGGTTTTCCCATTCAGGGATTTAACTTTGTAAGAGGCAAAGAAATCTTAAAGGACTGAAGGAAAAAAAACACAGAACTAGCTCTGTCTACAAAATACCAGTAGCTCAATCAATATTAATATACAAAATCTTTAAGAAGTAAAGAATTAATTTATTGTCCATCTATGTGACATCCCTGTTTCCAGGCCTTTGATAACTCCTTACCTAGAGCCTAAGCAGCTCCTGTCAGGCTTGGTTAGCGCTGGCTGCTCTGCCCACAGCCCCAGGGATTGGATGCATGGTTTGCTCTGGACTGGAGAATGCTGATGAACACTACTTTGGAGAGAGCAATTGGAACAAACAGTTGGAACTGTGCCACAGATGCATACAGGGGTGTAATGTATATGAAGTTAGAAATGTTAGAAAATGTGGCTGCACGTGAGTGTGTATATATATGTGGCTTTGTGCACGTCTCAAGGCAACAAAGCCCCTGTGTGATGGATGGTGAGGCTGCTTGGTAGATGGATGATGTCAGACTCAGGTCCTTCTCAGGAACATTGTCCGCTGTCTCTTGTCCTTTAATGAGAGCAACCTTTAGCCTCTCCAAACCCCCTAAAGAATACTGATAACCTGACAGGCTAGGCTTCCATGCCTTTACGGACCATGCCCATCGCATGCACATAAAATAATACTCTGCTCATGTGCATTGTGCAGGAACACAGTTGTACAACTTAAACATTTATTTTCAGTGTCGCATAATGTCCACATTATTTATTCATGATTCTAAAATCAATAGAAAAGATTTGATGAGTCATCCTTCCATGTTTTGTCAAAGACTGTGCTGCAGATAAAATAACAAGGCCCGGTGACAGCATGAAGGAAGGGAGATTATCCCTTCACATTTGTTTGCTCCTCAGCATTTATATTACATTAACACATGTAATTATTCTAATGTCATAATGGGCCAATTACTGTCCCTGTGTGGAGACTGGTGCTGTGATTCTGAACGCTGTGTTGTTTCTCCACTAATGGCTCTGCCTTTTTTGTGTTGTTGTATTTTGTTGTGCTGTACTGTGGTCTGTGTCGACTATTGTGTTGTTCTATTTGCAATCCCTAAGCTGCCAGTGGGCCCTGGCTTTGAGGGTGTGTATTTGCATCCATTAGTAATCTGAGTGGGTTTAAAAACAAGGATTCACACAAATCGAGGCCAAAATGAGGCTGAGTACTGAATTACAATCACTTTCAAATTTGATTTATATGCTGTTTTAGATCACGTGGATCCATACTTATTGGTCAGTGTCTGCAGTGCTGTCCATGCTGTTTTTAGTGGTTTCCACAGCAGTGGCTTCATGTAATGAGAATAAAGCATAAGATACGATATGTCTTTCCCTCCAATTTGTCCAGTTGATAAGTGGAGGTTCAATCGTCAACGCTGAGGCGGTATGGGACCATGTGACCATGGCGGACCGGGAGTTGGCGTTTAAGGCCGGTGACGTCATCAAGGTGCTGGACGCCTCCAACAAGGACTGGTGGTGGGGCCAGATTGATGAGGAGGAAGGATGGTTCCCTGCCAGCTTTGTACGGGTGAGTTAGCTGTAGCCATGGCTGGCCAGCGACCATAGACACAACACACACCCACTCACACAGAGAAATGGAGGCATATGCACACAAGCTGATAAATATCCAGAGGAAGGTGCACCTGCACATGTATTCTGTCATATACACAAAACACATCCACACACACACAAACACACACACACACACACATACTGATATGCTTGCTACACACAGACACACACGATTGAATAATGCTATATTTGAATAATACATAACACTGACGAGATCAGAGAACAGCTAGCTAAGTGCCTTTATCGGGTGTTCAGGGACAACGAAACAAAGATGCTGATGAGCCCCTTTTTTAGTTTGGCACCACCTTCAACTCCTACCCTTGAAATCCACTTAAATTTGCAACGTCCTCACTTTATCGTGATTATATAATCTCACCCACATCTGAGCTCAACTAAACCAAACACAAAGATCTGATTCAGCTGTTACTGTATGTTACTCCATAGTTCTTTTACTCAACTTATTGAAGGAATAATTAGCAACGTTGTTGTAGGATGAGGCTTCCCTCAGTCCCCCCTCCCCCTCCAGACACTCATGGCCATTTCCACCTGTCCACCCTTCCATATTCACTCCTGAGAGGGCAGGGCAGACAGGCTGACTGACTGTCAACCAAAAAGTATCTTTCTCTTCTGTCATTCTCTCTCTCCAAGGTGGAACCCCACCCTCCTCAGCCCCAAACAAAACAGGTTTTCTATATCAACCCCATAGCAACTCCACGGTTCCAAAACACCACGTCAAAGGTGCGTTTTCCCAGCTTCATCTACCCATCCAGCCTGCCCGCCCACCCGCCCGCTCCAGTCTGTCCACACAACGTTCCCTCGACATTACCAAACATTAACGTTACCATGACGTTATCACATCATCCTTAACGGGGTCGATAGAGAGGCAGAACTGATGAGTCAAAAGTAAAACAAACAACAAGTTAAATGTCTTCTTAATGGCCTGTACTCAAATTCTACAAATGGATTCATATAGAAGTAGATGGATTCTGGAAACATTATTCCTGTTAACATTCATTGTTATTTCTATTTTGAACATTGATTATTTTTTCAGTACTCTATTTACTATTGACTCTGACTATTTCTCAGTCTTAATGCTGCGCTAGTAGTTCTCGTCTGCAGTCAGTGCTCTACCACCCGTCACTCTGCTTGTCTGTGGCGCTGCATTTCTCATCTTGTGTTTGGCATTCTACCCGTCGGTTCTTTGATGTTCTCTTGGCAAACTGTGTGTCATCAGGTGTTGGCTGCTGGACATCTGAAACCACGCTCACTTGGCCCTTTTCTATGAGCGAGAGTGGAATACACTATGTATGTGGTCCTGTGTGTGTGTGTGTGTTGGTGTGTGTGCGTGTGCGTGTGTTGGTGAGTGCCATGCATGCGTGAGGAAATTGTGAGGTTGTGTGCGAGTGTATTTGCATGCATATGTGCAGGGGGGAGATTTATTTGAGTCACACACAGGGCCGAAGCTGGGCATTGAATATCTCCTGGGCATCGGTCTCAGAAAGAGTCTTTTTTAAAACTCTGGAGTGTTTGGCAGTTTGTCCCTCACCTTTCTGACATGCTGGACCAACAGTCTTACTCACTGTCCAAACAACCAGAGACTCTCTAAATGAAGCTCTGTGTGTGTGAGACGTGTGTTCATGTATGTGGTGTGTATGTGTGTGTGTGTGTGTGTGTGTGTGTGTGTGTGTGTGTGTGTCCTATATGCATTCATGCTCATGAGGAGTGAGTAGTACCTACAATGTTGTGATATGACCCTAAACGTATCTGTTTACTAATACTTTTTTCATCAGATTGATAAACTTAACTGATAGACTTAACTGAGCATATTTCTTACTCAAGTGCATGTGTGTGTGGCTGTGTGTGTCTGTGTGTGTGAATGTGTTTGTACTCAGCTGTGGGTGAACCAGGAGGATGGGGGAGCAGAGCCAGCTGAGGGGACGAGCGAAGTGCAGAACGGGCACCTGGACCCGACCAATGACTGCCTGTGTCTGGGCTCGCCCCTCCAGAACCGAGACCAGATGAGAGCTAACGTCATCAATGAGATCATGAGCACAGAGAGACACTACATCAAACACCTCAAGGACATCTGTGAGGTACTAAGCACATGTACACATCCACCAACACATACACGGCACACTTTACTACCAAAGAGATGAAGGGGAAAGATAATTGGACTGAACTGAACTGAAATGTGTATGAGAGAAGAAACAGCCCTTTTTATGCTCCACAAGGGTCTATGATTCTTAACACTTCACACTTTTATTCAAGAAATGTTTTTTTTATGTTTATTTCAAAACAGTCCAAAAATAATTCTATTTTTATTAGTTATGAAAACAGTTGTCAGTTCTACACAGTAGTGACAGCTGCCACACTTGGAGTGATCTAGTCCAGATTAAATTTGTGATTATATTATGAATCATACCGAAGTGACAAGCTAGAATTCACACCTAATAAAATTAAACAAATGCTTTGCCAGTTGTTATATTTTTAGGATGACAAGCCTTTTATAACGGTTCAACATAACACTGTCAAATTTAAATCGGAAATCCTGACTTATTATTTAGAATCAAACCTTTAACTATATGAACAATTTCCTAAATCCTGTGAACTTTCTCATTCTTTCTAGATGTACAGTTTTCACCAATTCTGATTTGTCTAGCTTTGCATGTACACAGGCCTGATCTTACATGCCATAGTGATCCATTATATAACCTAAAACATGTATGCGTGCACAGTACAGATACAGGATTTATTCTATAAACATTATTATGTCACATGGAACAGTTGTATCTTTGTGTTTCTGTCTTGATATGAATTCAAATCAAAAAGTCAAAAGGAAAAAGTGCCACATTATAATTGGTTCAATAGAAACAAATATCTATGTCGTAAAGATTTCCAGTAATGGCTAACCAGCAACAGGTTTGTTTAATTTCTGAGAGAAAACAGACCATAGTTATAATCAATCACAGTTCCATACACATCTGTTTGTCCCAATGCTAGCACTAACAACATAACATACTGCTAGCAGTACAGTAGTCTATTGCCACAAGTTCTTCCCGCTAAGACACAAAAGGTTTGTTTCATGTGAAGCAGTTGTTTCTTAAATATTGTTTGTTACCAGCACAGCCATGTAAGTGAGTGCTGGTTACATAGCGGTATTATCTGAACAAAATACCATAGCATCATGACTTTGGGTGGGCAAGATTTTCTAGTGCAAATTCTTATCTTTGTAATCTTATCGAAACATCTCTCCTCAATCCTTCCTCTGTTTACTCTTTGTCTGTATTCCAGGTGCAGCGTAATGTTTAAAAATAGTTGCAATAAAGCGTAAATTTCACCTTCTCACCTCCACACTCCTTACCTATGGAGGTACCCAGCATTTTCCAACTGGCTATAAACATACACAGGCAATAGATTATTTATTAGATGTTTTATACTTTGTCAAAACTAATTAACATATAAGAATGTGAGTTACATATACTTAAAAGTAACAGATTTAAGGATTTAGGAAAGCTAATTAGAGTGGAAGAAATCCCTTTGCACATGAAGTCAAAATGTTAGTAAGCTGTTGATATTTTCCTGGTTCTTCATGGAACACGTGACTGTAGTGGCTGTGCTAGTCAGAAAGCGTGCTATCACAGAGGAAGCTTCCTAACTTAATATAAAATACATGATATATAAGAAATAATTAGTTTTAATCTTGTGCCAGAGATTATTTTGGAAAAAGATTTTTTCTGAAAAAAAAACCAAACACTGCTTTCATTTTGATTATTTGCATTGAACTCAACTTTTCGAAGCAAAACAAAAAGGCTTAGCATTTGTTTTTCACAAAGACAACAGAGAGAATTCTGGGTGGTGGAGTGTGAAATAGCAAAAACCTACCTCTTACAGCAAATCTTTTCCCAACGTGCCAAAGCTTCGGGGCATTTAATTAACCACAAGAATTGAACTGACAAATTGGGGCCACAGTTCAACCTACACAAAATTGCCTCTACAGAAGCTTCTGGAGAGTCATAGTTAATTTTGACTCCAATGAGTTATTTTTAAGGAATGACATGTTTATTACAAGGAATTAACAAAAATAGTGATGAGATGTAACAACGCTATGGCCTTTTCTGATGCATTTTCTGTCTCATAGCCTTGCAGCCATGTTACAGTTCAGGACCAGGCACTTACAAACTGTATCGTCTTTGAAAGCCTCACAGTAGTTGTAACCCGTATTGTTACAGGGCTACCTGCGCCAGTGCAGGAAACGCGTGGACATGTTCAATGACGACCAGCTGAAGGTCATTTTTGGGAACATCGAGGACATCTACCGCTTTCAGATGGGCTTTGTTAGAGACCTGGAGAAACAGTACAACACAGAGGAACCACACCTCTCTGAAATTGGACCATGCTTTTTAGAACATGTGAGTTCAAATAGTGTTTTTGCTATTTTTTAACACACAAAAAATTAGTGTGAAAAAAACAACCTCAAACATGCTGTCCAGCAAAGAGCAGCCATAATTGCTAATAATTTTGTTAGGCCTGTTATCTCAAGATCAGAACTTAATTATCTCGTTATCTTGAGATAACAGTTAAGTTGTGGAGATAATTAAGTCACCAGCAAACAGTTTATCTTAAGATAACGAGATAATTAAGTCATGATCTTGAGAAAACAGCTCTAATAAAAATGTTAGCGACCGGCACTGCTCTTCTGTACACATTGGCACTCCTATTCCAAGTATGTTTTATTAAAAAGAGGATTCATTACATATTTTCCTCTCTCATCATGTGTCTTTCTGCTTATCTACTCTTTATTCTACAGCAAGATGGCTTTTGGATCTATTCAGAATACTGTAACAACCACTTGGATGCTTGTATGGAACTGAGCAAACTGATGAGGGATGGCAGGTACCAGCACTTCTTTGAGGCCTGTCGCCTCCTCCAGCAAATGATTGACATTGCCATAGACGGCTTCTTGCTCACCCCTGTCCAGAAAATCTGCAAATATCCGCTCCAGTTGGCTGAGCTTCTCAAATACACCGCACAGGAGCACAGGTACTGTACGCTTAGGCCAAGGTCACATTTAATCTGCTGATTGTGTTGTTCATTTGTTTCTAAAAAGAAGACATTACTGATCCATCATTGTGTTCCAGATGCACTGTGCAGTGCAGTCGTTGCAGGTGTTGTGTTTATTTGACTGTAGCAGTGATTATCCATGCATGAACTGAAACAAATGTTGTTTGGCACTGTTTTACCAGCTTTCTGAGAAGGTTTTAGAGGAAAACATTTCATCAAGGAATCTCAATTGTATTGAAAATGTATGCTACAGTGCTGCAATTCATAACCATGTCAAATCATTTTCATTCCAGTACACAGCCATAGGATGATTGCATAGAACTCTGGCTATAAATAGATTTGCAGATTAAATATGAATTTGGGCTTGTGCTGGCAGAAGCATCAACATTCTCCACACACTGCGCGCACAGCACAGAAGTGCAGTACACAATATAAACATTTACAGATGATCTCTCATGCACAGGCACAAATGCGAGCATCCAGATGTGCAAACTCATGCGTGCAAACCCACAGAAACATGGTGTAAGTGATTCAGCGTGTCTCAGCCAGCTCCAGGTCATTCACAAACCATGCGTTCTCAGCCAGAGAGGGACAGGTGCCAGCTCTGCCAGCTCTGCCTGCCAGATCACAGTGTTTGACTGTTAGGAGCTGTGGAGAATCTGCCAGATATAGGCCTGCTCTCTGTCACACACACACACTCATAGCACTGTCACACACACACACGCATTATCTTCCAAAGTGAGGATTGGATCCGTAGCACATCTAAGCCAGAGGGATAAATCCAGCTCAGTTAGCATAGACACAGTCAGAGTTAACTGTGGATAGAGAAGGTGGCTGATTAGAATTAAATAGCACTGTGTTATTTTGACTGTGTTCCAGCAGAATTACTGCTGTTACTTGAGTTTATAACCCCAGTCCTTTAATAGGCTACTCCTTATCATTCACTACTGCAACATAACATGTCTTTTTTAAAGAGTGGCCAACGTCCAAGAGCTGTAACTTTTCCCTTTAACACCCCAGGACTAATTATGTATACACTGTGTCCGTAGTGACTATCGATACGTGGCAGCAGCACTGGCAGTAATGCGGAACGTCACTCAGCAGATCAACGAGAGGAAGAGGAGGCTGGAGAACATCGACAAGATCGCTCAGTGGCAAGCTTCTGTTCTGGACTGGGAGGTATGTATAGATCGTGGAGTAATTACCAAGCATCTGATGTCCACTGATGTTGTTTTACTGGTAAAATCTGTCTTGTCCATCTGTTTAGTTATATATTTTACCTCGGGATGGAAGAACTTACATTTTACTCTATATATCTAGCACTAAGTGTAGACAGTTTTACACAACCTAAAGTTGTGGACTTTGAGAAAACATTACATCGTGTCTTTGTGTTTAAAATTCTTAAAGTAACTATTTCAATTCCTTAAATGTTTGTCTTTTAAACAAACTAATATTGCCTTTTACTGGACTTTCCTGCTTTCAGACTTTTACACAACCTAGCCTTTACTTTGTAAAAACATCAAATTTAGTGTTTGTATATGCTTTTGAAATTCACTCCTTTAATTTCTTAAATGTTGCATCAATTTAGTATTACAGTTTCACAATGTTGCTATGCAAGTAAGAGGCCCATAAAAAGAACAATGACCCAAACTGATGCAACTGGAAAGGATTTTTTTGTCACATTACCGCTGGCTGGTAAGCAGCCATATCTTATAAACTCAATGTTCCAGTTTGTAAAGCAAGCTTTGTAAAAGAAAAAAAATGTAATTTCAAGCTGAGATACACCTGATGACATCTCAATGACAATTTCTTTTTCTTCGACTTGATAAAGCTCCTTCAGAGCCACAGAAGATGTTATACAACCGCTTTCACAGGCTGAGAACTATTAATCATGATATATAAACCGATCTTTAGTGTCAGTGAGTTAGGCTTTTTAGTTTTTGAAAGTTGCATCAATTACATAGTTCTGTCTGAGTATCTTCTTCATTTATAAATTGCATATCTGTGTGTGTGTGTGTGTGTGTGTGTGTGTGTGTGTGTGTGTGTGTGTGTAGGGGGATGATATCTTGGACAGGAGCTCGGAGCTCATCTACACTGGGGAGTTGTCATGGATCTATCAGCCGTATGGACGTAGCCAGCAGCGAGTCTTCTTCCTCTTTGATCACCAGCTGGTCCTCTGTAAGAAGGTAGGCTCTCTCTCTCTCTCTCTCTCTCTCCCTCTCTCTCTCTCTCTCTTTGTTAACTTTCTTCCTTTTTTTTGGAGACTGTTGGCTAAAAACAAGCTGATTAGCTAAAACACACCCTCGGTCTGTGTTCTTTAAAGTTGTGTATCACATGGCTGGTGATGGAGATGCTTGAAGACAATGTGACTTCTTCCTCAACCTTACTCGAGAGCTGCAAACAGATTACATAATACTGTATGAGATGCACCAGCCTCCAGTGAAAATGTGTTCAAATCCTCAGCACCTTTCACAAAATGGAGCTGTGGTAGTTTGGGCTCTAATGCACCGAGGCTGTGCTCTCCTGTCAGACGGATGTTCACGCTCGGCTAAACTCTACAATACATGCACACAGAGACACAGACACAAATGCAGGCAGACACTTGCACACAAACACACACAGGGGCTGAATAACTGCGTCATCACCCACACGTGTACAACACAGTAATTTCACCATTACACACACATGAAAAACTAACAAAGACATATATATATATATATATATATATACTGTCTTTCTGTCCTCATCCCCCCTCCCCTTCTATCACTTTTGAACATCTTTAACACCAGAAATGAACTCCAGTATTTCCTGCAGATCACCACATGTGCTGTTCTAGTCCACTAAATAAATTCTGCTCCAAGACACCACTAAATTATATATTCTAGTCTTTGTTCTAAACATCCTTCTCCAGCATCGTCAGCACAACATGTGTAATGGCAGCCCTCAGGGTGTGTTAGTAACACGTTGCATATAGCCTTCCATCTTTTCCTCTCATCTTGTCCTTATCAGCGTGTGGATGCAGATATGTCTCTGCACGCTTATTAAAAGATGCCTGTTCTTTATTTTTATTTTTTTTCTTCCTTGACCTTATAGTGTGACTGGATATTTGGTCCTAAGGCACTGTTTTTGATGTGGCCATCTTCTTCCTGCAGATTATTAAAGTTACGTAGATTAAGGATAGTTGTGGTTGATGAACAGCTGTAGGAACAATTAGTCGATTAGCAGAAAATTCATCTGTTCAATCAATTAAAGTAATTTTTCAAGCAAAATCCCAAACATTCTCTGAGGATTTGCATCTTTTCTTCGTCTTACGTCGATAGTAAACTGAATATCTTTGTATTTTGAACTGTTGTGTTGGACAACACAATCAGTCAGAAGATGTCAGCTTGGGCTTTAGGAAATTGTGATGTGCATTTTTCACTATTTTCTGACATTTTATAGACCAAAATTTAATTGGGAAATTAATCAGTGACAAAAATGATTGTTAGCTGCTTCCCTGTAGTCATGTAGTTGAAAAATATAAATTAAATATTCATAGTTTTTTGTATATTTTATGGGGCTATGGCAGTTGTAAAATTTAAAATTATATTTGAATTAAAGTCATATTGAAAGGAAATTGTCGACTCAAGTCACGTAGTAACCAGCATACCAATTTCACCTCGTTTGCTCCACCCTTATTCATTCGGGGGCTGACAAATATAAAAACAGCCTATAAGAAGAAGCACAAAATCTGAGCATGACATTTTATTTAAATGTTTTTATCCATCCAAGAGATCAATTAACTAACTCTGCAGATAGGCACAGAGAGAGAGAGACTTAAACCCCACACGATGCTCACCTGCTGTGAAAAAAAAGAAATCCAAAATGCGAGTTGTGTTTTTTGGGTGACTTTATAGAACATACTGCTGACAAAGAAAGTCAAGGGAGCGGACAGATACAGCCTGTATGTGTCTGTCCCTGTGTGATACAGGCAGAAAAAAGCAGGAAGGGGAGGAGGGGCGGGGCATGCCTGTGTGTGCAGCAGTGTGTAGTAAGAGACAGAAGTGTAGGTGTGTGTGTAAATATCCAAACCCCAACTACAGTCTACCCAACTAACAAATATAGTTGAATATACAGGTCTAGCTCTATAGGTAGTAGTGAATGCATGAACAAGGAGTGATTTCAGACACAGGCGTTTGTCTGGAGCGTGTTTGAACACAGAAATCACACTCAGATGTGGGGCCGAGATCACCTTTTGGGTGGTCTCGACTCCCCTCCACTTGAACTCTGGAGTCAGAGCTCAATTGAACCTACCATTAGAAACAATGCTGGCTTGCAGATCCCTTCTCTGATGGCGAACTCTTGAGACAAGATGCGTAAGGACATTGGTTTCTAGTCGCAGTCTGGATGCTCGCCCAAACTGGATTTTTTTGTTAACTTAATTTTGTTAATTTAATGAACACTGGTACATTAACCACAAAAACACCATGAGGCAAATCTTCCCAGTAATATTTCTGACCAATGAGAGGACAGCTTGCTCCCTCATGGCATTTGTTTACAGCTTTTGGACCTGTTTCAAATGTTGCCATGTGAACACAAACGGACCAAGGGGCTAATGTAACAATTATATCAAATTAGTCCCTGAATCAGAACAAAACAAACGAACTCCAGGTCTGAAAAAGCCTTTAGACACTGTAGTTACTGTTGGTGTTAGACTGGATGAAGTGGGCACAATATAAGAAACACTTCATGATACAATGCAGTCCCATAGAGCTGTAATGATTAATTGATTAATTGAGGAAATCAATCTAACAATTGTTTAATCATTTTGAGGCATTTTTAAGGACAAAGTATCAATACGCTTCTCAAATGTGAACATCTGTAGGCTTTTTTGGGATTTAATTTGAATACGATTTTTAAAGGCATCATCTTGTGTTCTGGGAAACATGGATGGAGATTTTTTACACATTTTCACATTGATTGATGATATAAGAGTGAATAAACACCTGTCTGAAACAACCTCTTATAAGGTTATAATTAAAAATGTATTTCAGAGTTGTTGTGTGGCGGTGCATTAGATTACTGGTGTAATATATTAGTAAGTGTACTTAACCATTGTTGAAGTAGTACTTTCTACATATCGAGCTTCATTTGCTCTGAAATTTGGCATTCTACAATGTGTGTGTGGACTGGAAGGTGTATGTTTGGGCAGCAGATGGAAAGGGTTGCGTAAGGCAGACTCTCAGGATACCAAGGGAAGGAGGCTTGTTGACACCTCTAAGGTTCAGCACACATGCATACTCACACACACATTAACAGACATCCTCCCCTCCTCTACCCCAGGATCTGATACGCCGGGACATCCTGTACTATAAGGGCCGCATCGACATGGATCGCTACGAGGTGCGGGACGCCATAGACGGGCGTGACGACGACTTTAATGTCAGTGTGAAGAATGCCTTCAAACTGTGCAACAAAGACAGTGAGGAGATCCACATCTTCCTGGCCAAGAAGCCAGAGGAGAAGATCCGCTGGCTCAGGGCCTTCCACGAGGAGCGGAAGATGGTGCAGGAGGATGAGAAAATCGGTTAGTCACGCTCCCCCCCTTGTTTGAAAGGCATTAATATCATTCACAATGGGCGAGAAAGCATCAGTTACATGTTGTATTTGCTGCAGCACACTACAAGGTGACTTTTTTAGAATAAAACCTGAATTCCCTGTGAAATGTGTGAAACGTTGTTATAAAGTGAGCGTGACAATCAGGCCTTAGCTCTGACTGGGTGGGTCATGCTACATGTACATCTTAAAGGTCCAGTGTGTAACATTTAGGAGGCTGTATTTGCAGAAATGGAATAAAACATTCATTGGTATATTTTCATTAATGTCTAATTGCCTGAATATAGGAATCGTTGTGTTTCCTGTTAACTTAGAATGAGCTGTTTTATCTACAGATGCCGCTAGTCGCCTTGTATGGAGTCCGCCATTTGAAACCACTATGTTTTTACAGTAGCCAAGAACGGACAACCAAGCTCTGGCTGTATGTAGGGACTTACGCGTCAAATTTCGCGGCCACCATAGTTCCTCCTACAGACTCCATAGCTCATTCCCAGTTGCAATCTGCAACTCCACAGCTAGATGCCACTAAATCCTACACATTGGTCCTTTAAGAGACATGAAAGTAGGTTTTGTAGTATTGTGTGAAAAGCTAACCCTGCACAACACTTCATAGCTTTTTTTAAGTCAGTTAAGCAGTTTCTTACATCCTTTTTTGACATGCAGTGAAGCCCTTGTGTGAGGAAAATTGTAAAACATACAGTATTGTTGGTTCTTTAGGTTTTGAGATCTCTGAGTACCAGAAGCGACAGGCGGCCATGACGGTGAGAAAGGTGACCAAACAGAAAGGTGAGGCAACAAGAAGATATCAGGTGATTTCCCTTTTCTTTTCCTCGCTGGTGTGCTCTGTCTTCTCATCGCTGTTTACTCTTCCCTTAACCTGCTCTCTTTTTTTACTTTCTACACCTTTTTTAAACACGCCGACTTTGTATATGAATGGACCCAGACTATATGTGTACTAAGTATGCTAGAAACTTCAAGTGGATTTATGTCTTCTCTCTATATTACTTGCAATATTTTTCCTTTGCGTTAAATGTCTGTCAGCCCATACACGAGGATGACTTGATATGAGTTGTAAAGCAGCTGTTAAGCATCAATGAAAAGACAGAGGGCTGTTTGCATGAAGTATTGAGTTTAAAGGGCAATACCAGTGTTCATGACATGTGGGTCTTATGTCACGCTTGTCTTGAAAAAATGTAATACCTCAGACTACTGTTTGCATTTTTTCTTTTACTGAGTTAGGGTGGTTGCTGGTGCATAGCACTTCCATTTAAACCCAGATTGTAAAATACCCTAAACAAAAATCACACTTTTTGGTTCATACACACTTCTGACAGGTTCATGCGTAGTTCATAGCGGATTTATTTTGTTTTATTACAGCATCAAAGTTGTAGAACAAGGAGTCTTTATCTTACATTGTGTTATCTAGCACGATGGAACAACATGACACCTTGAAGTCTAGAGAAACATCAGGGCAATCACATTACTTTGTTGTTTTAAAGCCAGATATGTCAAAATACTGTAAACTACCAACGGCTATTAACTATCTCAGTAACAAGAAAATATGTCAAACAAGTTATTCAAAGAATGCTATTTCCAGACAAAGCATCAGACAGAGGACCCACATGTCCAAAACTGCTGGCATCATCCTTTAAGATTTAGCCATTTTAGTGCGAGGCTAGATGTTTGTACATTTACCATTACTGATGTTCTTGCTATTGCCAGTTTCACAATAAGCATGACCATCCATTAAGGTATTAATTAACCAATGATCACTGCTGGAATGTTCTCTCTGACGTTAGGATCCCTGTAGATGTCTGTCAGAAGTAAATGTTGTGTGTTTCTAAGTGCTGTATGTGTACATGGCTGGCACAAGGTGAAGTACTCTCTTGAATTTCAGATTCATTTATAGATTTCATCTTGAGAAAGAGGGCCATGTTGTATGGACATGGTTTGAAAATGATAAAGGTATATGCATTAGAGTTCTCCTTAGAGCTAGCACAATAAGATGCCATGGCAACTGCTAAGCAGCATTGGGAGGTGTTGTGATTAACGTTGACATTGGAGCATGCAGTCACAGTCCAATCTGTTTACAATCATTATCTTGACTATCCTATCCAAGATAACCAGGTTCCACTAACACAAATAGATCAAACCCTTCTAACTGCTAAAACAGTGTTTGGCCGTAAAGTATCTGTAAAAAAAAAAAAAGACACTGTTTCTCATCTTTGCATTTTCTGTAAGATGCCATGGCAACTTTTGAATATTTCATCTCTAAATATTGATTGTAGCTAATTTTTAATTGCACTAGCATAGTTGTGATGCTTGTAGACTGTAGCTAAATGACATTGTAGACTGTAGTTAAATGCATATTAACAGCTTTTCTGTTGGCTCTATTTTTGTTCTCAAGTGTCGAGGGTGCTATTCAAACAAATGTGCTGTCAACAAACATGGAAGAACAATGTCCCTTGTCCAAATGCCTGGTTTCATCATTGTATCCGATGTAATCTGTTGGTTCTCTTGTTTGCCTGCTACAGAGTTTGATTGAATAGCATCTTTAGTCTCCCTTGTGTCATTGCTAGAGCTGAATTCCACGTTTCTCTCAATTCAGCTGTCATCATATGATCATATATATATATATCATATCTCAGGTTTAATATGCAGGAATGTTAACACCGAAAGCTCATTTTGTATGTCTATGTGGCTGCTTTCTTTGGAAGCATGACTTGATGTTGTGTTGTTGTGTCTGTTTCAGATACATTACTGACAATGTTTCCTGTTTGCTATCCACCTCCCTTCTTTTTCTCTTTCGCTTTGTGCCCTGCACTGCCTCCTTGTCCCTCTCCCCTTACACCCTCCTTCTTGCTCTTTTTGCACCTGCCTTCCTAGGTGTAAACAGGTGCACGCCCCCCTCATACCCGCCCCCCCAGGACCCCCTCAGTGCGGGGCAGTATGAGGTAACGGAGGACATGGCACAAGGAGAGGTTTTTGAATTCAGTCAATCCAAAAGAGGCCAGGCTCCTTTCTGGCAGAATTTTAGTAGATTAGCTCCATTTAAGAAATAGAGATACACAGACTCTTCTGAAGGACCAGCTATTTTTCTTAGAAGCACTAAACACTGGATGATCATGTCCCATGAAGAAGAAAAATATGAAAAACACACATACACAAGAGACTTTGAAGTTTAAGGACCAATGTTAATATAGAGTATGATTGGAAGCAGCAAGAGGACTGAAGACTTGAGAAATTCAGAAAAAAGAAAACTTTACAATTCATATATGTTAGTAACGTTCTTAGTTATCATGCTTCTCCAGCTGAGTCGACTGTCATGAACTCTCTCCCCTCGGATTCTGCATATTCACACCATCTGAATGTCCTGGAGTTACTGAGATTGTTATATTATTTCATTTTGAATACATCATCTGGAAAGTAACACAAGGCCAAGCCAGGGCATTCCCAGTAGTATGATTGTGTCCAAAAGCTGAGATCTTAATGTGCTGCTATGTGAGATTGCCTGTTACATTCTTCTGAATGTGATATTGAATAATGACGGTCCTCAGCTACTGGCTGTGGCGTCTGATGGACATGTGAAGCTCTACCATCAGCATCATTTCTGAGTTAGATCCATTCCGCCAATGATCACAGACCGGTCAGGCCATCTCTGCTCTACTGATGTCTGCGTCTGGATCTCCCCCTCACTCTCAACGCTCCATAGTCCACTCTCTAGCCATTTGCTAGATTACATTTAGTAGCCCTCTCTTCATCAAGTCTGATGTTCACAGTGTTTCTCTCACTCTCTTACCATCCCTCTTGTCCTTTCTGTATCTCTACCCACCTGCTCAGTCTCTGTGAGTCAGTGGCTCTCAGAGGAAGAGCTTCATTCTTTTGGAAACCTGCCAATGGCCATGATACGATGGGTCAGGGAACAAATCAATAGTTGGAACATCAGTAGAATATTTACATCCATTCACCAACCACTTTTGACAGGGTATTCATAACCGATCACGCCGAGGGGCTGTGGGTTGCATTTGACGGAGAGCTTGCCGCTCAGATAAAACAGCTGGGAGGAGGAGATAGGCAGGCTACAGTCCACCTGCCTTGTGTCAGAGCTCCTCCCCACTCTCCCCAGAGACCACCCCTGTAGCACTGTGCTGGCAGCTCACTGGGCGTTTGGAAAGAGCACAGCCTACCTCTGGAAATCCACTGAGAGCTAAAAGTGAAGTTGATGCATTGGCCATGGTCTAAAATGATATATCTTTTTCAGGTCAGCTGTAAAAAAAAAACACAAAAAAAAAAAAAAAAAGACTTCTTCAGTTGACTTAATTATTTCGTATTGCTCACATTGTAAAAAGCACAGCACATATTCAATCTGAGGAGTACTTTTTCCTCTCATTTGAGTAGGAGCAATGCCACAGTGTGAGATATCAGAAAGAACCCTAACTCGCCCAAGGGGAAATGGTCAAAAAAATGGCAGAAATTATAAATGATTGGGACAACCATATCAATTGGTTGTGAGCACACTGCAGAAGTGTGAGCCAACACCATAGGGGAGGCAGAAAGGTACATTTAATCTGTAGCATGCAGGTGTCCTCTGACAGGATTCATACGTCTCTAAAGGCTCCAGCTTCACAATCTTGGCACTCCTCCCCCGTCACGTTGTTTTCCAGTTCAGATCCGTGTTCTGGCCGTTAGATCGGCGTTGTTAAGTGATTTACAGAGGACCACCGCCCAATCAGATTGATTTGTTTAGTCAACAATGTCCCCGAGTTGCTGTGAGCGAGGTCCCGTGCTATTTCAGCAGAGGTGTTAGAAAAGGGAAGATCTACTGAAGAGAAACTACTAATTTACACATGTCATGAAGGTGTATTCTTTTATAAAGTTGGAATGTAAGTGACATATCTGTCCTTGGTTTGTGATCATATTTTGACCTCAGATACAGAAGTACATTTTGTGTTGAATTATATCACCTGATGGACAGTACATATACAGTATGACAACTTGTGCAATGTGATATATCATATTATATCTTCACTATTCACTACAACGTGATATGAAAGAGTTATATATCGTTCTATGTCATTTGTTTGCCTTCTTATAGGCCTTATAACCTATTGGAAAAAAGACCTTAGAATTGCTTTGTATGTTGTGTAATTTATGTTTTGTTTCAGTAAAGAAAGTTGAGAAACGGGTGAGTTGGCTGCTGGTGTCTGTAGAGATGGCTCCCAGTGAGATTGTTGTGGAAGATAATTCCCAGGTCTGGCACAGCAAAAAGATATGGTTCCCAGGCCATGATAACCTCAGGTCCCGTGCTACACCCACCCCCATTCCCCTACTCCACGCCACCACCAGTAACAACATACAGACACAAGCGTGCAGACAAACACACCCACACACACACACACACAAGCACACAGACACATAATCATACGCACTTGCTGGCCCGTTCTGCTGCGGAGAAGAGAGATGCTATCTAACAGTGCCTTCCAGCATTCCACTAGTGATTATCTATTCAGTTTCACAGGCAGATTTGAATTAGTCATGTATTTTCCCTTCAGTGTGGGACTTGCATTCTCTCTCTCTCTCTCTCTCTCTCTCTCTCTCTCTCTCTCTCTCATACACACTGGGAATTCCTCGTTCTCCAGTGCATGAGATCCACTCGGACAGAAACTTAGAGGTCAGGCCTTTTCCATATGAGTAGATACTGTGCTGTCTGACTGAAACACTTTAAAACACCTTATTATATTATATCACACTTACATAGCGGTAATTTTATTGCACAAAAAGGAGTTACTTCTGATTTCAGACGTTTAGAAACTACATAGAATTCCTTTATTGTTATCTATTTAACATGCTGAAAGATGGTTTAATTTGAATATATAGTAGGAAACAGATTTTCATTAGTCAAGATAGATTTCACATTTCAAAGTATATTATTAACAGTGAGTTATGAATCAAAAGAAGAATCATCTATTTTACCTTTATCAGCTACACACTGTAAATAATGTAAAAAAGAACAGATCATATATTTGGATATTGGTATTTTGCGTTGGAGACGAATGTTGTTCCAGTTCTAGCGTGCGGTAGACCTCAGTACCAGGTAAATGCATGCTTGTGGCATCCAATATTTTGCATGAGACTTAAGACAACTCTTAACAGATTGTTTAGTTTCATTTACCTTCCAATGGGATTTTTTTTCCACAACACAGAACCATTCATTTGTGAACCCATACCATCTCACTAAAAGGGAGTTTTCTCTGTCCACCTGTCTCCTGCTCACTATACATTACAGGTTGTAGCTTCTGTGTTTATTTATTGTCAGGCAGAGGGGAACATCTGTCCTCATTTCCCCCTGAATCAAAGAATGAACTGTTGATAGGTGAAATGAAAGGCACTGATGCTCTTTTTGCCCAGATATAATGGGCACTATAAACTGTAACATTATTTTAAATATTGATTTCTTTTCTTTGACTCCAACCTACACTGTCATAGTCCAAACTGCTGGGTTTTTTATTTTATTTTATTTGGAATGCCATTAACCGCTGAGGCAAAACGGGTATCATTTTTCTATGACAACAGTGAACCAAATAGGAGTTAGCGCTGATCATGGATGTTTGTGTATAGATTTGTAGTCAAGCAGAAGAGCTGAATAAATGCGAAACCTCTCGGGATGAGCTAAAAATAAACATAATCCTGAAGACGCACACACACACACACACACACACACACACACACACACACACACACACAGTACTTCATTGCAATTCATATCATGCTCTTGTTTCTACTTAAGAAATTATTCTTTGAAGTACAATGACTTGACAGTACAAATTAATTCCTCACTTGTATTTATTGAATGCAGTATTAAATAGTACCATTTGGCCACATTGTTAAAAGGATGTATATATTGGTCTTATTTTCTTATATAATTACCATTCTGACCTTGTACCGAGAGCCGAGAGAACAGCCTTCTGTGCGGTTGAATATTTTTTTTTTCTCTTTCTGGTCACAAAACTAAGACAGCCAAGTTAGCAGACTGTCAATCGGATGCATCAGAGGTTGCTCAGATTTATGTAATTCCTTTTAGTCCAGGGTGTACATGAGCTGCTAACCGCGTTCACTCACATTTAGCATAGCATCTTCAGTAGGAACTCCTTGCAGTTGGTTATGAAGTCCTGTGTTGTTTCAGAATAGTCAGGGTACAACAGAGTCTTCAATGAGCCATATATTGATGTGGTGTTCAATGACAACAAGGTTAACAGAAGACTGACATCCCACTTTTGGAATCTATCCATTGTATATTACCATCTAGTTTGAGGTCTGAATTTTTGCCTATCACAGAAAAATTTACTCACAGTATCCACATCCTTTGTCACCATATGCAAACATTTGTCATTTTCTTTCTTGCCGGCCTTTTGAGTTTGATTATTTGTTGTAGAAATGAAAAACCTGAAAAATAATGCCTATTCAATCCAGAAACTGTGAATGGGAGAGTGGAGATGTCAACTGTATGTACATTATATGTTTTGATGTAATCAGAAGCACTGGGAATATGTTGTACTTTGCTGTAAAAATAAATCCATATCTGATATAGCTGTACTTTTGTTGAAAATAAAACCTCTACAGAACCTGCGCGTCGAGACGTTGATGTGTCAGTGAGAGCATTGTGCTTGCCTTTCCTGTCGTGTGATATAATTTCCTGTTTGGTAGGTCCCATTCCCAAGAGCTGACTCATTAACTCCTGGATGTATTACAGAATAAAGATTTAAGGGCAAACAAACCTGAGATGATAACAGTATAAGGATGGTGTCCACAAATCCCCAGAATTCTTTTCAAAAAAACTTCAAACCACAAAGTGTAGCCCGCACATAACTATGCTGCAATCAATAAGTCATGAGACTTATGCAAATGTATTCTCCCAGTTGGCCCTGCTGAAGTGTAAGCTGATCACTCAGCTTCCTAATGTCTTGAAGATGCAAGACTGTTTTTCAGGCAAGATCCTGGTGCGATGCAGTCACTGTGTTTGGCCAGTTGTGCCTAGATGTCTAAATAATTGAAGACTATTTTTGACTGTGTCATGTCACAGAGCTAAAGGTGATGCAGAGAGGCATTAACAGATGCTCAAATGTACCAGTGAGAAGCCTCATATCTGGACAAGAGCAATAAGCAGTATGACTGTGGTCTCTAGTGGTTAACTATGGTGTTACACTTCATAAAGACAGGGCAAATTTTCCAACATGGAGCCTGTCAGGGGGATCATCTTTCTGTGTTGGACAAAGACACTTTAATGAGATTTGTAGAGCTAAAATATCTATTTAAACTTAATCTATGGATAGTCACAAACTTCAATCTTCATGTATAAATAATAAAAACAAGAATTTATATTAGAGAGACCTCTAAAGGAACCAGATAAAAATGTCACACATTGAGATTGTGAGCGTCCGTTATCTTATCCTACTTGTGGAAAAATGTGAAAAAACGTGCAGTCAATTATACAGCAATGAGGTAAAAAAGACAAAACAGCACTGGCCATATGTTCTGATGCTAGTGAGCATCATATGAGTTCAAAGGTGTCGTGCTTCAGGTAGTTCCTCAGGATCAGAGGAATGTCCAGACTGTCAATGGCCGGCTCCTTATTGGCAGGAGGAAGGTATCTTCGAATTGCTAGTCGAGTCTGCGACATCAGTGTTTTTGGACAAACTGGAGCAGAAACAGACAGAAAACAGTGGATCAGCATGAGCATTCTGAGACATTCACACACTTCAGTGCTTACTAAACCAACTCTAATCAGTGTCTCACCTCTCTCTTTGAGCAGCAGAACCAGAGCTTCATTCTGCTTTGTAGTCTTGTCAATGATCAGTGTAGGCAGGAACACATCTGCCCCAAAGTCTATAAGAAGCTGGATGTACTCCACCCCGCAGCCATAGCGGAGGCACACCTCCAGAACTGTCTTTGGTTGCTTTATCCTGGCCAGCATCTTCTCATCTGTGCAGTTGTAGTTGGGGTTGGCCCCGTGGAGGAGGAGTAGTTTAAAGCAATCCAGGTGTCCATAAACAGCTGAGATGTAAAGGGGCCCTCTGCAGGATGTGGCATTGGTAGCCCACTCAGGAACTTTGGGTTTGACGTCCACCTCGGCTCCGAACCGCAGCAGCTCACAGAGCACGTCTAAGTCGCCCTCTCGGGCTGCAGTGAGCACCGGGGAGCAGTTGTTGTACTGGCTGCCATTAGGATCCGCTCCGGCCTTCAGCAGAGCGACCACACAGTCTAGATGTTTCCCACTGACAGCTGTGAACAGAGGTGTCTGGGCCTTCACGTCCAGGCTGTCAATCTGGATTCAAACACAGCAGTACACCAACATGTAACAGATGGAAGCACATTCCCGACTAATTGTAAATTGGTTATCCAAGAAATTCAGGGGTTTCTCTGAACGCACTTTGTATTCAATCCACGTAGATAGATTTTTAAAGAATTCCCTTTTTACACATCCAGAAGACACTGAACATTTGTTCATTTACCTAGATATTTTAAGTCCAATATTCACATTTTAGCTCTGTTTTAGTCTCAACCAGAGGGAAATACCTGGCATTTTAGCAGCCAAATGCTCTACTATTTACCTAGATAGCCTCTGCAGTTTTGTACTGGTTTGGTAGTGTACCGTGGGTTTATAAGCTGCTTGCTGCTTCTGGAAACAGCAGTGATGACAGCAGAGTTTGAAGGACGAAAAACCCAAAATAAAAAACTAAAAGACACTAAAAGGTTCTGTAGAACTGAGGTGAACTGTAGACTTGGGTAATAATTCTGTACGGGCTTGTCACTACCAGTGACCCCTTTCATATTACGTAATTTGATCCATTGTTCATACTAAAATATTGATTAGTGCTGCTTTAATGCCCCCAGTGTAAAACGTAGTGAAAATCTAATTTCTGACTCTTCATTTTTAATAAATGAAAAAGACCTCCAGGGTGAATATAGGAATCTTTTTTAGCCTTTAAATGAATTGTGTAATGGCTGAGTGCAGTATATAATTTTGTTTATCAAATAGAAGATTTATTTCCATTACACCCACCTGCAGGCACAGCTGTAGCTTCCCACCAACCCCCCTCCACACCTCATCATCCTTATCTGAAAGCTTTACAACAAAATGCTCTCTCCTTATCTCACCTCTGCACCATGCTCCAACAATAACTCCAAGCACCTCAGGTGTCCCAGAGAAGCAGCAGTGCGCAAAGGGGTTACTGGGACCCCCCACCCACTTCGTGCATTGATAGACCTCCTGTAACTCTCCTGAGACAGAAGCTCAGAGAGCAGAGTCACGTTGTCGCTGCTCACGGCGTTGTTCAAGGCCTGACACTGCTCGTTGTCCTCATCCTCCTCCTTAGGCTGCAACAGGGAGAAGATCTTAGAAATGTCCATCAAACTCATGTTGACAGCTTGGCCCAGAACCATAATGTAACTCCAGGCTGATGCAAGTCAAAGCTCCTTCATCTGAAATAGCAAAAAAAAAAATGCAGAGAAAGATGACATTCGTACAGCTGACATATTCTTGTCGAATTGGATTCTTTTTTGGGGGCATCATTTTTATTTCAGTATAACAATGTCTACATGAAAGAAAAAGAATGACACTTCTTACAATGACCATATAGTCCTACTATAAGATGATGCAGTTTGTTTACGTGACACAATTATTGTATAAAAGACAAGTCACAGTAATACAACCTAAATAGACAGAGAATATAATGTATATGGCTTCAAAGCTATACATGAGTGATTTCTTTATTCTAAGATATAAAAAAATCACTGCTTAGACCCACAGAAGGTCCACAGAAAACAGTAGAAACAAAGTTACATGGTTTGTGTCAACAGCAGCAGACTGGAACTTACTGCAACAACGCACTTACCTCATCTAGTTGCTTGGTGATGTTAATTCCAATATTTCCAATGATGAGAAGAAAAGTTTTAAAACCCCATAATTATAAGTAATGTGGGAAAAAAGAAAGAAGGAAAGAAAGGTCCCTTAAGGAGTGTGTGATACTTTCACAGGAGCTGTGAGTTGTGAAAAGTGCAGTATGGTTTGTGTGTGTGTGTGTGTGTGTGTGTGTGTGTGTGTGTGTGTGTGTGTGTGTGTGTGTGTGTGTGTGTGTGTTGACAGGGGGGCCAAAGCTCCTTTCTGGGGGGTGGGGGGCTAATTTTAGGCCACAGATGGGCCTGGCTAAACTTCCATTCTTGGAGAGTCCAGGCTAAGGTTTATAATTAGAAAGGTGATACACGTGTGACACTCCGTCAGTGATTGGTGAGTGTGACTGTCTTTCCCTGTTTCCTGAGTAAAGACAAAAATGAAATGAAGACGTCTGTCTCTGTGGGTGTCTCTCTAATTCTCCACTTTTCATTTCAGCTCATTGAGAAGGCAGTAAAAGGCACAACAGCCCACAACTGCATTGTTGGGTTTCCCAGTGTGACAATAAAGTCAAATAATCAATGAGAAAGGCAGTTAGTCTGCTGCATGTGCCCTGATATCACCCTGATTCACATCAAGGCAGCCATTTTAGTAAGTGTCAGCTGCGTGACTGTCAGAAGCTTTAGAGGAGCAGCCAGTCAGCTGTTCTTCTGCCAACCCACCCATGTCTTCATACTGCCCCATGTTTAGAAGGGAGGCTGTGACACACCACATTCTTTCAGCAGATGGCACAAGAGTCCAGATTCCTGGCATTGTACAAATGCATGAGGGAACTTTATTTATTTATTTATTTGAGTACACATACATGGAACAATTAAATGTGTATAACTAAGATTTGCTTTTAATGCTAACTTCCAGGAATCAAACAGTGGCAAAATAATTGCAATAATTATGACAGAATAAATATCACAAACTGAAATTGTATCTATGACTTTTTCTGAAATAATAAATCTATAAAATGTGATCACAACTCTTTTCTTGTTAAATATTTCCGGATAAATTTTCATACAAAACAGCACTGAATGTGAAATGTATCAGTGGCAGGCAATACAAAGCCAACCAACCTCTAACCAATGCACTCACGTCGCATTATCTAACATAATATTGTGTGAAAAAGGTGACCACATGAATGTAAACAGGAAGAACATAGAAAGTTTCTTATTGTTGATAACGATGACCATTCACATACATTTATTTAAATCATCTCTGTATACCCTATATGTGCAGTATTATACACTGTACATATTTGTATTTTGTTTGTTGTTTTATTATCTTTATATGGTGCATTTTAATATTTGGTATTGCATTGTTTGTGTTAGATTTTGCACAGCCCTTATGATCCTTGGGGTCATTGGGGTAAGTGTAATAAATAAAAACTACTGGCCATCTTTTGATATTAAATTATATATTTATTATAATAATAATTATAGGAAAAAGATAATAAGATAAATAGATATATAAGATAATAAATAAGAAGAGGGATAAGAATAAAGAATATAAAATTCAACCACCAGATGGCGGTATAGACGCGTCGATGGCAGGAAGTGCAGCTGTGGCGAACAGTAAAAGAAGAGGGTGTGCGTGTAAACACAGAGGGGAAAGCCATTTTTGACAATGACCTTTATTTGTAGATTAAATCGTTTTATATTGCACTCTCAAAGGTTTGGTCTGACTAAAA